TCAGGCTCACCTGCATAATTGAGAATAATCTCCCTATCTCAAAATTCAAATACATTTCATCACATCTGCAAAGTCCTCTTTGTCAGGTAATGTGGCATCAGAAGTTCCAGAGATTAGGATATGGACATCTTTGGGAAGACATCTCAGTCTATCACAGTTGGATAGGTGGATGGTACAGCAAGGCATTTTGATCTATGATAAAGCCCATTCTTATTTTACTGGGGAATATAAAGTCTCCATTAAAAAATAAAAAGGAATGACATGTAAGTTCTGGAACAGTATTATTAACTCACAAAAACTTCATTGAATGGAGCAATTAGTTTCTTAGGAATCCAATAAAATGGGAACATACTGTACTTTAAAAGGAATTATTTATCTGTGGCTAGTCCTACAAATCTCCACTTTATTTTCAATTTGTAGAGATAGTTGAGCTATATCTCCTATATTTATCTTACCCTCTCCCAACCCTGTCCTGCCACTAAAAGCTTCTTTATGGTGTAGGGTTTCATTGAAGAGGACTAATGGGTCACATCATGGATTAAAACAAAACATTTGGCATTGTAGTTACACTGTAAGTGGTGAATTTACCTTGAAAGTCTTAAATACATCATTTTAGGCTCTCTAATTTATATGCACACATATAAGCATATATGTATAAATATATATTCAACTATATGTGTGTATACATGTTTGGTGTAATTTTTTATGGCAAGAACATCTAAACATTGGTGTTTACTAGTGTACTTTAAATTCATTCTTTTTATAAGCTAAGTGCCTCTGTGAAGGCAGTACTATCAACAAATGGTCCTTTAGCAAGAATCTCCAAGTCTTGCACCTCAAGTGTGCCAACTCTTGGGAGCATCTATTTCTTTGGGTCTCTGAATAATTAATGCCAGGAGGAACTTCTAGTTGTAGTGTGGGAGTTAAATATAGCTCTTTCAATTTTTAGATGTTATTTCTATTCTATATAGATTTATAAAGATTAAAATAATACACTTTTATAAACTTTTTTAAAAATTTGGGAGGGTAAGGCAAGGGCATGGCTCAAGCCCAAGAGTTTGAGGTTGGTGTGAGCTATGATGCCATAGCACTCTACCCAAGGCGACAGAGTGAGACTGTATCAAAACCACAACAAAACCTTAATTTGAGTTTATGCTTAAGATGGCCATTATATTGGATTTGTTTTCTTTTTTAAAAAAATTATTTCAGATTAATATGAGAGTACAAGTGATTAGGTTACATTGTTGGCATTTTTCAGGTAAAGTTCAAGTCATAGTTAAGCCTTTCACCCAGAAGTTGTGATGTATACCCTTACATTGTGCCCATTAGGTGAGAGCACACCAATCCCCCTCACGCATCACCTCTCCTTTTTCTCTCCTCTGTCTTCCTCTACTTGAATTTAATTGTGCTTTTCTCCTATGTGGATGCATAGTTGTTTATCTATTGATTTCATATTAGTATTGAGTACATTCGATACTTCTTTTTCCATTCTTGTAATACTTTATTAAGAAGAATGTTCTTCAATCCATCCAGGTTAACACAGAAGATGTAAAGTCTCCATTTATGGCTGAAAAGTATTCCATGATACACTTATACCACAGTTTATTAATCCATTCATGTGTTGATGAGCATTTGGGCTGATACTATGTCTTAGCAATTGTGAATTGAGCTGAGATGAACATTTTAGTGCAAATGTCTTTATAGTAAAATGATTTATTTTTGCTGTGTAGACACATAGTAATGAGTGGATATTTTTAACCAAAAATGTCTGGAAAATGAATTAGTGTGGATTTCAGGGTAACTAGTGCCATTTTGTGAAGTCTTCATTAAACAATCATACATTTAAAAGCATTAGGAATTATCTCTATTTATAAATACTACCAGTCTGCAGCCTGGAGGTTGGGAGCTGCAGCTTTAAACAAAAAGGTTTATTTCTTTGACATCGTATTTGTTGCTGTGGTTTGGATATGGTTTGTCCCCACAAAAACTCATACTGAAATCTGATAACTAATGTTGCAGTGTTGGGCATTGTTTGGGTTACAGGCAGATCCCACATTCTCTGATGATGAGTGAGTCTTTGCTCTCATGAGACTGGGCTGATTCTTACAAGAGCAGGTTGTTATAAGGGAAGGCTCCTCCTATTGTTTGGTCCCTCTCCACATGTGTCTGCTTCTCATTCAGGTTTCTCTGCCATGCTATGATGCAATACAAAAGCACTCACCAAAAGCTAGGCAGATGCTGGCACCATGCCCCTGGAACTTCCCAGCCTGCAGAACCATGAAGTAAATAAACTTCTTTATAAATTTTGCAGTCTCAGGTATTCTGTTACAGCAATACAAACAGACTAAGATGTGTTTATCACAGGATGGAGATTAGACTCTTAGCAGTGACAGCTACTCAAGGATTGTTTTAAGCTATTGGGACTGATACCAGCTTTAATGTTGGCATGATATTGCTGAAGTAAAAAGTGAAGCCTATAATCCCAGAACTTTGGGAGACTGAGGCAGGAGGATTGCTTTGAGGCCAGCTGCTCATCCTGGAAGTGACATATATTTTTCCTTACAATTTATTGGCCAGAAACATTCACAATCCATCCCTCCTTCTCCCCACATCCCATTCATCTAACTGTAGGTAAAGTCATTCCTATCAAATGTCTAGGAGATAGAAAGTGGAAACTATTTATCACAAATAGCTCCTCAATCTACTGAATAAATTGCATGTGCCCTAAACATCCAGGCTACATCCTCACAGAAATCCAATGAGATTGGTGTTAACATGTGACCTCAGAATCTAGAACTTTTCTTTCAACCCTTGTAGCCTGTGGATAAATGAATGATGAAACAATGCCCAGAGAGAAGTGAATTCAAAGGATGGAGAGAGAATTTGGCCTGAGTTCCCAACTGTTCTACAGATCCCATTTCCACTTTGTACTGAGGTCAAGATGAATTCCTGGCCTGGAAGTGGGAGATCAATAGTCCTGTGTGGGCTATATGAACTTTGTGATTCCTATTTGACTTTTAAGTGGAGATGTTGGGTAGGTTGTTTGGTCTGCAAGCCAGGAACTCATGGGAGAGGTCTGGGCCAAAGATGTGGATTTGAGATTTGTCTGTCTATAAATAGTATTTAAAGCTATAGAACTGGATGCAAACATCTAGGGAGAAAGTTTAGGTAGAAGAGATGTTCAAGGACAGTGCTCCAGGATACTAGGCATCTAGGGTTAAAAGGGACAAAGAATGAGAAGGGACACCAGAAATATCTTACTAGATTCCCTGGCTGACTCTTTGCCATCCAGGACTCAGCTCAGATGCCTCCCTGTCTACCCAATCTGATTGACCTATTCCTTATTTACTTTCCTATTTATTATTTCCTTACCTTCCAAAAAAGAAAAGATCTTTCTGTCTTGTCCCTGGCATACAAAACAACACCCACTCAGCACACATGAAGCACTTGGTAAGTATTTTTTGGAATAATGAATGAATGAATGCTGTGGTGCACATATACAAAAGGATTTTAATAGTCCTTGTTTGAGGATTGTATGGAGCACATTTTTTAATGGCAGATCCCATTTTAATGGGAACTGGAAACCAATGAGAAAGGAACATACACACACAAAAGCTCCACAAGGCAGTTGTACCTGGAACATGTGCCAAGTGGATTCTGTGAGCCTCACAGGGCTACACAGCTGAGTCATTTATACCTAGATTCACAGCATGTTTTCCATGTATCAGACTCTATTCCAGACCTAGGGAATATAAAGATGAATTAAGAAAGCAGTACTTGCCCTCCAGGATTTCACAGTTTGGTGTTGGAGACAGACAAACAAGCTTACCAATGAAAGAATGCAAATGGTGATACAGAATTGTAAAGGAGGACACCTCACCACACCGGAGGTATCTGGAAAAGCCATTTGAAAATACATCTTGCTATTATGTTGGAGTTAGTCCATGGAGGCAGGGGTGAGGTAGAGCTGGTTCTGCCTACGTACCTTGGGCAAGTTATTTAATTTCTCTGTGCTTCATTTTATACTATAGTTAAAATGAAGACAATAATACTGACTAACCATTTTCTGTCTGGAAAGATAGATTTAAAAAAATATTGAGCCCTCTTGGTTAATTTTTCTGGTACAGGCTTAAGAAAATTGGAGATATAAATCTTTTGAGGCAATGCACCACGGATGTATATACAAGGGTTGAAAGAAAATTTCTAGATTCTAAGGTCACAGGTTAACACCAATCTCATTAGATTTCTGTGGGGATTAAAATTTATTCATTCAGAAAACGCTATTAGTACAGTGAGTGGCTTTTTCTAAATTCATTGCGTTGCCGATCGTATTTAGGAAGCAGGGAGGAGGTGATGAGATACCAGTCTACTTGCCACAACCAGTGAGACAGTGGTGCCCATCACTGAGATGTTGAATACAAAAGGAGCAAATTTTCTTTCCATGTAAGGGCGAGTCATTGATGATTTGCCAGTCTACTCGTCTGCGTCTCTCCCTAACAATAAGACTGTCGTGTTCGCTATAGTGCATCAGTGCATCTTTACACAGAGATGTACTAATTTTATATTATACACACACACCAGTTTGTGTGGTAAGTTCAAAATATACCTCTGGTATAGACATGTTTAGCATATTCCTAAAGCGCAAAGTTATCAGAGGCCAACCGTACTGATGCTAATAAACAATGTCAAGTGAGAATCCACTGCCTGTGTTTGTGGGAAGGAAAGAGATACAACCAGTAATGGAAGAAGGGGGAAAGTGGACACAGAAAAAAAAAGAGGGAGAAATGAAGAATAAATGAGAGGAAAGGGAAACCGAGAGATTATCAACAATGACAGACAGTAACAGGCGAGTAAAGCCGAAATGAAAGAGAAGGGAAAGCTCGCGGAGCCTCTGGGAGGTCTCGCTGGCCCCCAAGCCTGGGTCAGAAATCTCCCAGCTCGTGCCTCGCGCGCCCGAAAGGCGTCACTTCCGGAGCAGGGAGCGCGCGGTGTCCGACGTCACTTGGAGGCGGAACTTCCGATTCCGAGACGTCTTCCCAGGATCCTCAGGGAAAGCCGGCCGCCTTCTAGGCGGACAGGTGAGGTACTGGTCTGCCCTCTCTGGGTGACTGGCCGAGGAAGGACAGGCGGGCAGGCACGCGGGATCTGGAGCCTCTTCCTTTCTATGGCTCCTCGCAGAAGGCTGCACGACTCGTAGCAGTAGCAATAACGTTGCTGCGACAGTTTGGGAGTTCAGAGCCACTTGACGTGGGAGCCCATTGGGTTGCTGGCGGGGCAGTCGCTCCGCGAAGTGCGAGAACGCACCAGTTGTACCGCCTCGCATATAGCCTTTGCGGGGGGTCTTATTGTGGTCCTTTGGGGGAGTACGGTCCAGAACGTTCGGCAACCGTCTGGGAAGAAATGACTAAGAGGGGTCAAAGTCTGGGCCTGAAATGGGCTTTGCAGCAGGCGTCTGGCGCTCATACCGCTTTTCATCCACCTTTAAGATAGGACAGTTTATTCCTATTTATGTCTTATCTCGAAAGTGGTTACTAGACACCCGCTTTGCGTTTTGTATGCCAAACACTGGGGAATTTATGATTCACCATCTGAACTCATAATGCTAAGTCATTTTAGTTCTAAGAGCAAATCCCTGTAGAGAAAAAGACACATGATTAAAAGAAACAAACAGAAAGAAAGAAACCAAGAAAAATCTTCTGAAGGTTTATTCACACATTTTTCTTTTAAAATCCTCTTTTCTGAAACTGTAAGTAGGAATGTTCCCATTGGTTATTTTCCCATGTTTTTCACCTAAAAGTGAAAAGCCTGCAAACCTAAGCATTTTTGTTAGCATGTAGGATTTTAGAAGACAATCAAGGCAACACAAGGTGCCCCTCTAAAATTTTGTATTTTAATATTTTGTAATTTGATAACTTTAGGCCTTCAGGCTGGGTGACTGACTTTATTGAAAGATTGATTCCCCTTTCAGCATTTTCTTACTTGTGGTACTACCACATATATTTAGAATTAAGCACTTAATTCTGAAGTGTACTTTAAGAGTACTTCAACCAAATGGAAGTTAGTATATTATTTTTAATATTTAACATATGTAAGTAGAGTCGTTTGTACAAATTTATGAAATTCTTGGCTTTATTTGATATCCAGAAGCTGAAAGCTGCATTTTGGCACATTTAAAATATTGTATCTGTGTGTAATTACAATAAAGAGGCAGCAAAGGAGTTGTCAAAAATATTTTTTGCCTTTTTCAGGTAAATTCAGGAAGTTCATCAGTGTAGCGTGTGTGTTAGTTTTTATATTTTCTTGCAGCAGTGATGGATTTTATGTTCATAAAAGTTCTATTTTCTGACTCAGTTGCACACATGGGAGAAGAATCTTGCTGAAGTTAGTATGCAGTCGTTTAAGTAGCAAATATTCAAATAGCAAAAGTAGATGAAATGCAAAAGTTGCAGAAAATGTTGTACAATTGCTGGTCTAATGCCCACTTACCAAGCAGGAACAAAGACAGTGGTGCAGAATCTTCAAGTAACATGTATCATACTCACTTCCACATAGACTTACTCCTATAGTATTGCAGGTCATTCTTTGAACTGCATATACTTTCAAAGTAGTATGTGACCGGAAAAACAATGGGGTAGGAGTCAGAAGACTATAAAATTGATTTTGCCATGGAAATTCTTTTGACCTTGAACAAAGAATATATAAATCTTTGACCTTCAATTTCTTAATTAATTGCACTGTCTGCTTTTGAAGACATTCTCAAGATCAGATGAGAGGGGATGAGAATGTACTTTACAATTGAACTACAAAAAAAGATGGTTTGTTGCAAGAGGCAATAGTATCAAGTCAGAATATAGAAAATGCTTACTTGCTTCAACATATTATTCTGGAGAAAGATAGGGTGGATATAAATTTAGTAGTCTGTAACTACAGCAGACTAAAAACGATTTTGTTTATGAATCTATATCATATGTTGACTTTAAGTTGTATCTTTTGAAGTTTACATAGTCCTATATGGTAAAATTCCCAATTTTTCCCTTTTCATAACACTTATATCAATTATAATCAGATAAATACATGTGTAATTATGTTTTTTTAAAAATAAAATATCTTTTTAATTTTGAAGTAATTATAGACTCACAAGAAATTGTAAAAGTCTTTTATAGAGACCTCCTTGTGCACCCTTTAGTCAGCCTCCTCTGATGGTAACATTTTGGATAACTATAGCACATTATCAAAACTGGGAATCTGGGGCCAGGCTCAGTGGCTCAGGTCTTTAATCTTGGCACTTTTGAAGGCTGGGATGGGAGGGTCTCTTGAGACCAGTCTGAGCAACATAACAAGACCCCATCTCTTTAAAAAAAAAAAAATGGGAATTTGACATTGATACAATATGGAGAGTTTCTTGTGATTTTACTAGTTTTATAAGCACTTACTTGTGTGTGTGGTCTGTACACAGCTGTATGAAATTTTATCATGTGTAGTTTTTATAACCCCTGTCCTCAAAGCACAGAATTCTTCCATCACCATGAGGTTCCTTCATGATGCCTCTATATGGTCATAACCATCTTGTCCCAGCCCTGTTCCTAAGCCTTAGCAACCACTAATCTCTTTGTCTTTATTATTTCAAGAATACTGTGTAAATAGAATCATACAGCATGTAAATTTTTGAGGTACTTTTTTTTTTTTTACTCAACATAATTTCTTTGAAGTCTCTCCAAGTTGTGGATGCTGATAATTTGTTCCTTTTTGTGGCTGAGTAGTATTCCATGGGATAGCTATGCCACCGTTAACCAGTCACTCACTGAAGGACATTTGGGTTAGGCTGTTATGAACCTTTGTTTGATGATTTTTGAGTGAACATAAGTTTTATTTACCTGGGATGTCTGAAAGCAAATTTGCTAGGTTATAAATGGTAAGTGTGTGTTTAGTCAACTGATAGGATTTATTAGGCTTGTTGCTATGGTGTGTTACATTGACTGATTTTCAAATGTTGAACATATCTGGAGTAAGTCCCACTTGGTTATAGTATATAATCTTTTTCATACATTGCTGGATTCTATTTGGTAATATTTTGTTAATGTATAGGTATGAGAAGTATTCTATACCTTTTTTGTGGGGGGAATTTTTTTTTATTATTATTGAATGGTAACTATGTACATTAATGCACTTCTGGGGTACAGTGTGGGGTTTTCACACACAATCTGAAACACTTCCATCAAACTGGTTAACATAGCCTTCGTGTCATTTTCTTAGTTATTATTTTAAAACATTCACATTCTGCTCTT